ACAGCCTTCACCATACCATTCCATCACAATAACTTTCCTATATTGAATTTACAAAAGAGACTTGTTAAAGCTTTGAAGAATTTTGTGATAAGGAACAAAGAAAAAATGAAAAAAAATTAAGTTCTAGGACATTATTTGAAGGGACTAAAGATTAAGATAGTTAGAAGTAAAAGGAAGGAATATAAAATTGGTTTATTTGTTCAGAGTTCTGTGATTGCTTCTTAAGAAGCTTAAAATAGATATGCTGTTATCTTCGGTAACCCTTAATGGATTTTACTCATCAGGACTGAAATGACAAGGCTTTAAGGATTTGTTTATAGATAAGAGATGGAATATAGGAAGAAGAGATTATTCATTGTATTTTAAGAGAAGGTGATAAGTTACTAAAATGGTTTATACTTTTTGTGATGAAGAAGGAAGTCATTTCTTTATATATTCCTTATCTTTTTCTTTACTGTATTCTTTTTTTTTTCCTATTCTATTTTTTCTGCACTTTTTTCTTCTTTTTATTGTTTTATTTCTCCTAGTTTGTATGAGTTTTTATCTTTTTAATTGTAATTTCTAATAGAATTACTATAACAAAAATAAATTTAGCAGGAGTCTTATCTGAAAGATTTTGTGAAGGCTGGTGACACCACTTTGTTCTTTCACTGGTTTTTGATACTGCTATTTTAAAAACTGTTCATTTATTATTTTGCAGAGATTGACTAGCCTGACTGTGCAGATCCAGGAAGGGAAATGTTGACAAGTGACTGCATATGTCACATTGAAGAATGAGCAATCACAGAACTCTGAAACAAGGAGAAGCAAACATTTCAAGCAAGGAAGGGTAATGTGATAAGATCCACCACCCTGATGTATTGCTAATAAGCATCTTTCTGCGATGAGAAGGATAGCAAAGTTCTAACCTGAAACTCCTGTTCTATGTGGAACTTCAAAAACCTTATAGGAAAAATGAATCTCAAAAAGTTCTTTTAAGCTCAGCTGTAATCAAGGGCTATAAAAGTGTCAGATGTTGAGATTAGCAGTTGATGAATGACCCTGCCATAGACTCAGACCCCTTCTCCCCTTACAGGGCCTCAGTTAGTTTAATATATGGGCAGCCTTGAAATACAATTCCTCCTGGATTCTCTTGATTCTAGCTGTCTAGGTGGGAACATCCCCACCTCCCACTTTAGGGGCAGTCGAGAAGGTTAAATCTGTGGATCAAATGTCAAACATAAACTATAAACTCCTAACCTTTGCAGTCTCCTGAGTGTCAGGATCAAGACTGAGACTTGGTGAGAGAAAAATATTCCCTAAAAAAACTTTACTATTCGTGAACTCCCATCTATGACACAGCAGCTGCATAAGGAGTGTTTGATAGAACAGCTAGATCAGCTCTACTAGAGCAAATGGAGCACCACGAGAAACGTCCAATGAGACTACAGACTTCCTGTATAGAAAACAAATGTATCCTGCTACACTTGAACATTTTTGGTTCCTTTTACTGATTTCTGTTGCTCGTGGTTCACCCTGTTGTCTTAGTTAAGACAGAAGGGCTATGCAAAGATAAGTTGATTTGACTTGAAGGCAATTTGATCAAATTTCCAAATTGAATTAACTTTCCAAATAGCATCAAATGCATCTCAATCCATTTGATGATTCAAAATGTGCAAATACTCCTTTTAAAAAATGGATTTGGAAAATTCCATCAATTTTCCAAATGGATTCAAATCATGAGATGGGATCAAAGCCAATTTGCCCATCCCATTTAAACAAATTTGGGAGCTGCCTCCTTGTTGCCATATTTTCCTTGCATCTTAGTTTCACGTAGATATCAGAAATATTTATAGACCCCGAAAAATTCATTTTGCCCCCTTGGTAGTCACTTGTCAGAGATTATCACTTACCATCTGGAGATAGCATCAAAGGAATTGATCTAAAATGAACTTGCCCAAAGGATTAGAAATCTGTCACTGCAGTGGCATGATTGGGTTGTAAGCTGTGACTCCTGTTGTCAAACATGCTCTGCAAGAATTATTCTAAAAATGAATGATGGGAGAGATTTGGAGTGGCTTGGCACATTATTTAAGGAAGGCATTCAAAATACAATTAAATCTAAATGGAAGCAGAAATAGAAGCGAAATGTTTGGAGCAGGAGGACTGGATTTGTTTTTTGCATCTTAGGGTTGTTGTTAGAGATCAATGTGCAGTTTTATCCTACAAAAAATCAGATAAATATTGCAGCAGAGCAGTTGGTCCAAAACCAAACCAAAATTAAATAGAACACTCTTACTCCACCTTGTCCTTGCACTGGAAATAGACATTTGAGAAAGATTTGATCCTATGAGGACCACCATCAGAGGTGATCTTGAACAGCCACTACAGCCCATGCCAATCACTGGTCTTCTTTCCCAGTTTCTTGTTGCTGCTGACTACCAACTGTTTGTTTTTAAGCAAACAAACAAGCAGTGAGTTGAATGAAAAAGAATGCTTATCCAACATTTAACACAGATTCGGCACAGGGGAAGAAAAACATAGATAGACAGCAGCCATGGTGAAGTGCTGGTTGCACCTAGAGAAAGGGGTTCAGAAGACAGCTTCTCATCTAAGGTCTTCCCTGAAATCTGAAACAGGCTTTGGCAACTGTTTTGCATTTCATGATATTGTAGGACCTGCAAGTCAAAAGATAGGCAATCTGCAGCCCTACAGATGTTTTGGATTTCAATTCCCATCTACCCCGGTCAGCAGAATCAGCAACAAGGGGCTTTGGAAGCTTTAATCCATGTGGCCCCCTTCTAGCTAGATCCTTTGACGTTATTATCCAGTGGTTTCCAAATACGAGCTAATATTTCTATACCAAAGGCAGATGAGAGAGAGTGGGGTGGGAACAGTGAACAATACTGAGAACATCAGAATGGCACTGGGATTTTAAATCACTGAGCCCTGCCTGTCAGCCAATTTCTCTGCAGAAAGCTCTTAGCAGTTAATTTCTGGGTAATTTATTATCCTTCAGCTCAGCCCCACAGTGCCATTAACAGTACAGTGACATGACTGAGTGAAATATTGTCTAATTTATTATCTTATTACTCCTCTGGAACAGGATCAATTAATTACCCATTAAAGTATTTCAGTTGCAAAGATTTATTAGGGAGCTCGGCATTTTAACAGATGATTAGTTATATATGTTTGTTTGCCTGAGAAGCACAACCAGAGGGGAAGGGGGGAGAGAGACGTACTGCGCTAGGAGGGAGCTAATGGATCTCTTCTGGACTCTCTGAAAATGGAGCAGTCAATGACAAGAATTATCGACTCATTCGCTTGTGGCTTGGAGATAACCATATGTACAGGAGAGGGGGGAAGCGGTGGGGGGGGGGGGCGTGCGCAGGGGGGGACTCTCATACAACTACTTTTTTTTTTCCTCCTCCATTCAATAAATTTGCTTCAGAATATATTGGATTGGGGTTTGATGGCTATTTCGTGTTTTGCAGAGTGCTGACACTGGTATGATTCAGTAATTATTGTTTCTTTTAAGTTATTGCTGTAATTTTGCTTTCTAAGATCCCAATCAATTCCTGCCTCTCAAGGGCACGCTTGAAAAGCGATATTTGAAAACAGCCCTCTGATAGATTGCGCCGTTAGACAGTGGCGGAGACAAATAGCCTAATCTGGCAGAAATTAGCTTGGCTTCCACAGATAGTTTTATACAGCAATGTAAATTATATTGTCAGGGCCAGTCACTTTCCTGCTTAGAGTGCAGCTAACAAGAAGCCATGGAGATATTACAGGGGCTGCCGTTCATCCTTTGAGCGAGCTGCTGCAAAGCCATTTATATAAGGGAAAAGGGAAAGATCTACCTACCGGAGAAGATCTGGGGGAAAGACAACACCCAGCTGTACCTGATCCTAGCCCTAAAAGGGACAGAGGGCAAGACCAGACCACGGGCAGGGTAGATCTGTTGTGTAAACAGGGTGCAATGGTGAAAACAACGGTCACTCTACCTTCCTGCTCAGGTGCAAAACAAACTGCCAAGGCTATCTCCTGGTTTGTATAGGTCCACAGCACCATTGTTATGTTGGACACACACACACACACTTTTCAATGAAAGATGAGGTAGGGTGCTCCTCCTCTTTCTATATAGGCCACCACCAGGCTTCTTGGAAATGGATGTAAAGGAGGAAGGAAAGAAGGATATCGATGGCTACCATTTTGGCTCGGGGCTCAAAACAGTTGCTTGAAGAATGAAATAGGAGGGGCCCCAAATTTGGGCCAAGTTTTGATCTACTGAGCTCCCAATCCATTACTCTCTTTGGAAATAGTGGATCTATCTAGAAATATTGAGACCAAGTCTTGGAAGAAGTTGCCAGTGTTAGTGTTCTATTTGCAAAATGGTAATGTAGTAAGATTGTTCCCTGCCATCCACTCTGTCTATTTTCCCCTGCCAGATGCTTTTTACCATCTTAACTTACTTTGGTCATTTTGTGTATATCTCTGTGTGTATGTTTGTGAGCAGTTAGGCATAGCAAAGAACAAAGTTGCAGCAATCAGCCATTTTTATTTCTTTCAGGCTATCTCTTGGGCCTATGTGGCGCCAAGAGGCATTCTTGGAAAGAGATGGTGCTTGACGAATGAGATAGCTCACTCTGAAGACTAGACAATGATGGGAAATTATGGGTCTGATGCAATTGGTGCCCAGTTCTTACAGTTTTTAATAAATCTGCTCACCATTGTCCATTTAATTCTTTCCATCCAGAGCCCAAAGACAGGCTATGCATCATTTGATAAAAGTGATGTACACACACGCGCGTGCATGCTCAAACAGATATGCCACAGGTCTTCCCTCTTTGTGCATTTATTGCTAACTAGGCATTCATTTGAGAAGATTTGGCTAAGCAATACAATTCAGCACAAGTGAAAGCAGTTGAAGGAGAAAGCATACAAAGGCTTTCTGAATGAATGAGTAAACGTTTTGGCAAAGGTGTGCCCCTCCAGAAAATAGGTACCTTTGTAACTTTTGTCTCAATGATGGTTAAACACAGACAGTCTATGAGGTGCTTATTACCATTCTTAAAAGTTAAGAAGTTTAACAGGTTCGGTTACAGTTCCTGTTCAGTTCTAGGTACAGTTCCTGCTAGTGTCTGAAAATTATACAGAGCAGGGGTGGAAAAGAGAGTTGTGGCTGGATGGATCATTGATATGATTAAGCATAACTTGTTACAAATGAGGCCCAGCCTCAATAAACAACCTTAATGTTGAGGAGGTCAGTTCCAAGTTATTACAGTTTCCTAACTGAGTAGACCTAAAGGAGGAAACAGCTCCTCCTGTTGCTTCCTCCTTTAGGTCTACTCAGTTGAGAAACTGTAATAACTTAGACCTGACCTCTTCAACATTAAGGGAGTGAAAAGGAAGACCTACATGTGTATCAACATAGGTTCAACTCTCCACCCATACCTCCATTTCCTGAAAGAGTGAAAATTATTTGAAACGCTTTATAAAATGCCACACCTCATAGCGACTGTCTTGTTCTCTGTGAGACAAGGAGAACCTTCTGATTTGGGAAGTAAACACTCCTGATGGGAAATATGAGCCGTGTTCTGCCTGGTCTGTGTCTGTGCTGATAATAGTTGGAAACAGCTCCATGATCTGTAGGAGCAGCAAGCTGTATTCTCGTAACAGCTCCAAAGTCTGAAAAAAGAGAGTCAGACACCTTTTGGAAGCCAAAAATATATATAAAAATGCTGCTGCTTTTTTGCAACAAAGCTTAGGGCAATCACAAGAATTGAACCATTGTTCTGAAATCCATACTGATGTGTATTCATTAATACATTATCAACTGATACTTGTCTT